AGTTTGGAAGGGGAAGCTAGATTGTATCTTGTTTCCCTAGCCAAAAAAGAAAGTAGAAGCTTAGCAAACTATAAAATAGTATTTCTACAGTAACTGCCCTACTGCAACCAAACATCACAGAGAAAAACTGGCCAAACCCTTATCCTCATCAGCAAAGGTCAAGTGGGAAGTCCAGAGCTCTACCCTAACCCACCTGTAATGAAGCACCCCCTCTCACCCCAATGGGCTTGTAGCAGAGAAGCAGCTGGGACTTTCATCACACCCAGTAGTAAGGACCTCCTCTCAGTCATGTCAGCAGAAGCCATGTGAGGAACATTGTTGCTGAGGACCAAGGGTCTCAGACCCACACCAGACCCTCCCAGACCAGGTTCCATAGCCATGAATAGAAGTCCTCATAACTTCAGGCTATAAAAACTAGTAGTGATTTGGGCTGAGTGAGGCAAAAGTTGCAGGAGTTTCAGGAATTCCTCCTAGAAAAGCCCACGCACAGACTTACTTGGACTCACTTCCTCTAAACTACAGTTCTGGGACAGCAGCTTAAAAGAAACCAGGGAGATACAGGGAGGAACTGAATTTTCTGGAATCAGAGCAAGAGCTACAGGAACAGCTTTCTCCCAAGGAGAATTGCTGGCATTGGCCATTGTTCCTTTTTTGAGACACGCACACACCCACACAGAGCAGGCAGGCCAGCACCATATCTGAGTTTCAATCAACCTGGCTCACACACTTCCTCTGCCCTGGTGATTCCCTGAAACCCTGCCCCACCCAGTTTCCCAGCCAATCCAAGCCATTTCCAGTAGCTTTTCCATACAACTGGCCTTTCTTGCCTCATGCCTCAACTTTCCTAAAATCTCTCAAACCAAAATAAAAAATTACTCAGCAAAGCTATCATTTAGAAGGGAAGGAGAGATAAAGAGCTTCCCAGACAAGAAAAAACTAAAGGAGTTAATCACCACCAAACTAGTATTACATGAAGTGATAAAGGGTTTACTTTAAGAAGGAGGGGAGGGTCTAAAGTATAAAAAAATAAAATGGTAATAAAGAGATATCATTATATCAACAACTGAATCTAAAAATTAAAATTAAAAAAACAAGTGGAACAGAAACCAACTCATAGATACAGAGAACATTTTAATGATTGCCAGATGGGAAAGAGGTTGGGGATGGGTGAAAAAGGTGAAGGGCCTAAACCGGTTTGGCTCAGTGGATAGAGCGTCAGCCTGTGGACTGAAAGGTCCCAGGTTCGATTCCGGTCAGGTGCATGTACCTTAGTTGCGGGCACATCTCCAGTAGGGGGTGTGCAAGAGGCAGCTGATCGATGATTCTCTCTCATCGATGTTTCTAACTCTCTGTCCCTCTCTCTTCCTCTCTGTAAAAAATCAATAAAATATATTAAAAAAAAAGAAAAAGGTGAAGGGATTTAGAAGTACAAATTGGTAGTTACAGAATATTCATAAGGATGCAAAGAACAGCATAGGTAATATAGTAAAAAATATTTTTACAGCTATGTATGGTGTCATTTGGGTGTGAGATTTATTGAGATGATTATTTAGTAAGTCATATAACCTGCAATCACTGGGGTGTACACCTGAAAATAATGTAATATTTTATGTCAACTGTAATTGATTTTAAAAAGGAACGAGCTTACTAGCAAAATGAAGATAAAAGGGGGTTAATCAATGAACTTAAATACAGAACCATATAACTTACCCATTATGAACAACTGACAAAAAATATACTACCAAAAAAATGAAGAGAGATTTTGGGACCTGTGGGACTATAACAAAATTTAATATTTCTGTTCCTGAATTCTATAATGAGGTAGAGAACATGGAAATGAAAAATTAATCAGAGAGAAAATGGATAAAAATTTCTCAATTTTGACAAAAACATTTACATTAAAAAAGCTGAGGAAACTCCACACAGGATAAACTCAGAGAAATCTAGGAAAAGATACAATAAAATCAAACTTCTGAAAACTAAAAACAAAACAAAAATCTCAAAAGCAGCAAGGGATTAAATAAATAATGATACTCATCCATAAGGGGAAAACAATTCAAATATCATCTAATTTCTCATCATAAATTATGGCTACCAGTAGCACAACATGATGCAAGTTTTGAAAGAAAAATGTTATCAACCCAGAATTCTATATCCAGAAAAAGATGTTCTTCCAGAATTAAGTGGAAATCAATATTTTTTAATGTAAAATTTACTCTTTTCTTAATTTTTGTCAATGTTAAATAGCATATGGCATTTTAAAATGAACTGTCTCATAAAATTTATATATTGAAACCCTAACTCTCTGTGACCATACATGGAGATACAGTCTTTTAGGAGTAAAGGTAAATGAAGTCCTAATCCCATAGAATTGATGTTCTTAAAGGAGAAAAAGAGCCACCAGCGATCCTGCCATTACCTATATCTTGTACATTTAGCCTCCAGAACTGTGAGAAAATAAATATCTGTTATTTATGCTATCTAATCTGTTTTATTTTGTTATATCAGCTCTGGATAACTAATAGACATAGAAAAAAGAAAGTGTAAAAGTGTAAACAGAGAAAATTAATATATATAATGCCATCACACAGACTGCAGGAAATATGTGCAGGGTATGCTTTTCTTGTTTATAAAACATATCAGAAATATTTTCTTTTATCAGTAAGTATGAGTCTAAGACTGTTATGAGTATTGTTGAAGAATGAAAAACACCTTAGTTTTAGGCCAACTAGGGTTTAGGGATGTTGGGGTAACATGGTGGAGATCGTTGTGGTGATTGAATCTTTATGTATCTTGATTGTAGTGGCAGTTACAGGAATCTACACATGTGTTAAAATGTCACACAACTATACACACACATTGTACCAACCCCAATTTCTTGGTTTAAGTATATGGCTATCATTACATAAAAATGTTATCTTTCCAAGAACCTGGGTGAAGGGTACACAGGACCTCTTAGCATTGTTTCTGCAACTTCCTGTGAACATATATGTATTTTAAAATATCAACAATACATCTGAAAACCAGGCCCAGTTATACCTACCATATGAAGAGTAAATGAAGTACAATTTGAGAATGCCTCACATGATGACTGACATGTAGGAGTAGCTATATATATATGGTGCACAAAATTCGTGCACTTGAAGGGGGGGGGTCCCTCAGCCTGGACTGCACCCTCTCGCAGTCTGGAAGCCCTCAGGGGATGTCTGACTGATGGTGTAGGCCTGCTCCCCATCCTTAGCACTGCCATGGTGGCAGGAGAGGCTCCAACTACTGCTGCTGTGCTAGCCAGCCATGTGCCCAGCTTCTGGCTGAGTAGAGTTCCCCTTGTGGGAGCACATTGACCACCAGGGACAGCTCCTGCATTGAGCATCTTCCTCCTGGTGGTCAGTGCTTATCATAGCTACCAGTCATTCTGCTGTATAGTCAATTTGCATATTAGCCTTTTATTATATAGATGTCTGTTAGATCTGAACCAGTTGTTGAAGTAAAGAAACAGAAGTGTCCTCATGTTGACAAGATTAGAATTGATGGGGATAACAGCCGGGCATGGAGAACGGATGGGGGACAGAAACAGGCTGTGGGGTAGTCTCATGTGCATAGGACAAGGCAGATTAAAGGAGTACAAATTAGAGAAGCAACACGCTGGCAAATTTTAAGGCCAGTAGAAGCTATGACCAGACTGGAAATGCTGCCAGTCAATCTGAAGACTGAGTAGAAAAGGTTGGGGCCCATTGTAGGCCTCTGAGGACACAGATGAGAGCCATGAAAAGACCTCTTTATGGGTCAGATTTCTCTCTGGGCATCAGCAAATTACGACAACACCTGCCTTATTCACCATCAAAGTGTAATGTGAGGATAAAATGAGATTTTGTATGTGGCAGCGCATTTTTGGATTCTTGTTAAGTGTTCAATGGAATACACCCATATAGATAAAAATTGAAAGTAAAAGAAATATATAAAAATTGTAAAAATATAAAATAGCAACAAGACATTAACTTTTGAAAGTCCTTGAAAAAAATTACAATAAAATTATCATATAATCCAGAAATTTAATATCTGGGTATTTTTCTGAAGAAAATACTAACTAAAAAATACTGTTAATTGCAACATTATTTACAACAGCCAAGATATGGAAACAATCTAAGTGCCTATTCATGAATGATGATATTATTTAGCCCATTAAAAAAATAGAATGAAATGTTGCTATTGATGACAACATGGATGGAGCTGAGGGTCATTATGCCTAGAAAAATAAATCAGATGAAGAAAGTCAAATATCATGTGATCTCACTTATATGTGAAATTAAAAAAATAGTTATTAGATACAGAGTGCAGATTGGTTACTGCCAGAGTTAGGGGGTGAAGAGGGGGGAATGGTTAAATGGAGTGAAAAGATACAAACTTCCAGTTATAAAACAAATAAGCCATGGCATGTAATGTGCAGCATGGTGACTATAGTCAATAATAAAGTGTTGCATACTTAAAAGTTGCTAACAAAGTAGAACTTAAAAGTTCTCATCACAAAAAAATTATAATTATATATGGTGATGATTGCTAACTAGACATTATGGTGATCATTTCCCAGTGTATATAGTTATTGAATTATGATGTTGTACATCTGGAAGTACATAATGTAGGCAATTATACCTCAATAAAATATCTATTAATAGATAATAAATAGGTAATTCTGTTCATTCTGACCTAAGGTCCTATAGGGGCAAAAAGACCAGTAGAGTGATTCTTCATTTGGGGAGGTCTTTGAATGCACAGTATCACATTTTCCTGTGTAAAAACATTTAAAAATTACCCTTAAAGAGGCTTCCTGTAAAGACTTAAAATACTATGTAAATTCTTAAAAAGAAGAACTGGAGTCCTTGAGAAGTTAATTATTGGGCAGATTGTGGGAAAAAAAGAATCCAAATCAACAATTTCTTAAGTTACTTCCTCTAGGACACAATATATACTCCAAACAGAACGAGTGTTTTAACACACACAGACTGAGATCAGACATCCTCAGTGGCTGGACTTGCATCTGCACCATGAGAAACAGAGGCCTAAGCGTGTTGTCAGGTAGGTAAAATTATAACAATGACCACAGACAATTAAAGCTATCTGGGAACTCTCTACCCAGTTTGAAAATATTATGTTTTTGCTTGATACCTGACTTATTTTTCCTGGTATCTCTATAAGGTACAAATGGAAGAAAGTTTAAGGATATTAGCTCGTTTATAATAAATCTCAAAGGAGAAAGTTAGTGATACCTATTCCTAGGGCATACTCAAGGTCTTAACAGATTCTTCCCATTTAACCACTAGTTTTAGTCCAGTTTCTTCAGAGAAGCAGAATCAATAGGAGGGAAGGAGGGAAGCAGAGAGGGGGGAAAGGGAGGGAAAGAAGGAGGGAGAGAGGGGAGGAGAGAAGGAGAAAGGATGGGAGGGAGAGAACCAGGGAGAGGGAGAGAGAAAGGCAGAAGCGGGGTGAGAAATGCACTATTATAAGGAATGAATGAGCTCATGAGATTAGTGGAGGCTGAAAAGTTCAAAATCCACAGGGCAGCCAGTAGGCTGAAAACCCAGGGAGAACTGATGTTGCATCTGAAGTCCAAGTCTAAAGGCAGTTAGGGAACTAGCCAATCTTGCTCAGTGGACAGAGTGTCAACCTTCAGACCAAAGGGTCCCAGTTTGATTTCGTTCAAGGGCAAGCACCTTGGTTGCAGGCTCTTCCCTGGCCTGGGCCCTGGTCAGGGAGCATACAGGAGGCAACCAATCAATGTGTTTCTGTCTTTCCCTCTCTCTTCCAATCTCTCTAAAAATAGAATAAAAATTTAAAAAGGCATTGGGAAGCAGAATTCCTTCTTAGATAGAAGAGGAAGTCAGTCTTTTTTCTCTTACAGTCTTTAATTGAATGGATGTGGCCCACCCAGATTATGGAGGGCAATCTGATTTACTCAAAGTCTACTGATCTAAATCTTAATCTCATCTAAAACAGATCCAAAGTCATAGAAGCACAGAACAGACTGTCAAACCTAAGAGGAAAGGCAAGGGTGTGTGAGTGGATGGGAAGAGATCAACTAATGATCTTATATGTATATATGCATAACCCAGGAACACAGACAATAGGGTGGTAAAGGCTTGGGGTAGAGGGTAGGGGTAGGCTGGGAGAGGTCAATGGGGGGAAAGAGGGACATATGTAATACTTTCAACAATAAAGATTTTTTTAAAAACTTGAATTCACAACAACAGATTATCACATATATATGATATATCATATATAATATATAATATATATCACACACATATATATCATATATATTATATAATATATATCACATATATATATATCATATATATAAGATATCTATCTATCTATCTTTGCCTTATCAACCAGAATGATCAGTTGCTATGATGTGCACTGGCCACCAGGGAGGTAGGGATTGCCAACCTCCCACAATCCGTACCTTCCTGCCCGCAGGCCCCAATTACCTGATCGGGGCCCTCCCCAGGCTGGGTCAGGGAACCATCAGGAGTGGGTGGTGGCAGACATAGCCCCTTTTTTAGGGGAGCCAAGGGCTAGCTCCCTACTTGGGGCTGGCTGCCAATCTCCCATGACCTGTCCCTCCCCTCAGCTAGCAGGCCCTGATCCACCACCCACCCACTGCAGTGGTGAGGCACCAGTGATGGCCACATCCGCATCCGGTGTCCTTTCCTTCCTTGCCCAGCCTGGTGACCGTTGCCTCCTCTCTGGCCCGGCCCCGATCACTCTGGCCCGATCCGCCCTGATTGCTGGCGAGGCCTAGGGACCCCACCTGTACACAAATTTCATGTCCTGGGCCTCTAGTAAACAAATGTTTGACTAGATGTCTGGGTACTGTAGTCCAGCCAAATTGATACATAAGATTAACTATCACATATCATTATTTTTCAGAAGGGTAGATAATCAAACTATCTGAAAACTCTATTATGTTAAGAAATACATGAACATTGTGTGTGTATCATGGTATGATTTAAAGGATAGGGAATTAATAAAATAAATATTAACAAGGTCAGCCAAAGGCTGGTTAGTTTTTATTTCCTTCAATACTTTGGATAATAACTGTAACCTAGTAAGTTCGGTGTTTCTATTAGGTCGTCGCCATTGGTTGTAATTTGCTCCCTGGTTTTTATAAAACATAGCCACATTTATCATTATCTGATTTGTGGTACATGATGTTTTTTAAGAATGGACACATTTTAGAAACTTCTTGTAAAGGCACACAGAGCTGGATTTTCATAGGGCCTGCTGGCTCATATGGATGAAAGGACGGACTCTGGATATGTGATCCAGGTATTGCCTGTAGGGTAGGTTTCATTCCTCGGCTCCTGAAGTGGTTTTCAGACCATAAAGCCTGTTCAGTAACTTATTCCTTAGGGCTGAACGGGAAGGAAAAGGGCAAAGGCTGTGCCCTCAGTGCTTTGTCTGAGGGCCAGGAGCTCATGTGGAAGGAACCAAAGAAGCCATGGGTGCTACACCCGGAGAGGCCACTTAACAAGGACATAGTGACTCTACCTGCAGCTGCCTTCATTCTCACTCCTCACCGCTCTCCATTCCAGGGTTCTTTTTTTATTTATTTAAAAAATCTTTATTGTTGAAAGTATTACATATGTCCCCCTCCCTTCTTTTTTAGGAACATTTTAGATTCCCAGATTTAATCTTGCAAATGTCCAGAGATAAGTATCTCTCTGAGTTCCTGGAGGAATCTTCAAACATTTTTAACAAGAGAAAAAAATGAAAAGAATAAGACTATTTTTCAACACTGGTATATTTCACTAAGATAGTATAATCACTCCCATTCATTCCAGGCTTCTTATCCCTGCTGGCATTGTGAGCTAGGGCTCACACTTTGGGAGTCTAATTCTAATACCCAGCTCCTTTTGTACACCCAGAAAATGTATATTTAACAGGGGAAATGATCCTGGAAGAGAAATCCTCAGATTTCTACCATTGCCAGAGAACAAGAAACTGGATCTTATCAAAGGGACCTTTAAGATCTACCCCCTTCATTGGCACAGGTTGGGGTTTCTAAGATGTGTCCCCTATCAGCATCCATCATGTATGTTCTGTCCCCTGACTTGTGACAACTGAGGATCCATGAGGACTGTATCTGTTGGTGACTGATTTCTCAGGTCGTTCTGGGAGGTGGGGGGGGGGAGATTGAGTCCTCAATTCCCAGTAAAGTACACGAAGGACCTGCTGGACGGCCATGGGCTGCAGGGCAAGAACCCCCTCCGAAGGAAGCAATGGCCATGCAGCCAGGTTTTGAAATTGGAGATTGACTCTCTTTCCTTTGTCTTCTTGTCATGTTTTTCTGTCCCAGAACTGTCAGTGCTGCTATTGTTGCCATTGGTCGCTGCAGCACAGGATTGGGGTAAGTCTGCCTAAACAGATGCCCATTAGTGATATTAAGCTGGCAGGGTGGGGCCGGGAGATGGGGAGGAGTGCAGGCTGTGGTCTGGGCCCTCTCAACAGCTGGGAAAGAAGGAGGCTAATTCTGCAAATGAAGCTTGGAAATGATCTTCTGGAGATAAGAAAAGCTGTTTTACCTCCTTAAATGCCTATATATATATATATATATATATATATATATATATATATATATATTCTATTCCTCTTCCAATAGCAGTTATCCCTCCCTTCTCTCCCCTCCTCCAGTCTTGAACCAACAGTTGTCCATGGCTTTATCCATTCCTTGAGCCTTCTGACCATGGTCTCCACCTCACTGTTCCACCCCACAGCCTGTATTCGATGGTGCCCTCCGAACCCTCCATGTGTCAATCCCCGCGCCTGTCACTGCGCACCCGGATTCAGTGCTGCACCGAGTAGCGTCTTCACCCACGGCCACTTGAAGAGTTGCAATGGTACAAAGGTTTCAGGGAATGGGGTGGAGGGACATAAAGAGATTATGGGGATATATTGTGGAGCATCCAGAACAGCACAAGAGGAAACAGGGCAGGGGAGTATGAGGGAAGTGGGCAGTTAGGATTTTGTGATTAGTAGGAAGGGTGTTTAGAGCTTCCACAATGGATCTGAACTGTGTGCCACTAAGTGGCTCTCTGACCTTTAGAAAATTATTTCTCCTCCCCCTCAGTTTCCTTGTCTGTATACTGAGGGTAATTATTGTACCTACCCCTCATGGATGGTGTAAGACTTCATAGTTACCTGCATGAAAAAAAAATTAAGATGAGTGCAGAGAAATTGTCAATAAACATGAGCTATAACCATTGTTACTGCTTGTTACTGCCAATTATTATTTTCATAGCACAAAGAAAGGAAAGAAATAGTGGAAGCAATAGGAGGAAAGAAATAACCAGAGCTCTGAGTCTCAGGCTCTCCTACTAGCTAGAGAATCCTGCCCTGGTTTTCCATCTCATCCTCACAGCAGAGCCAGGACACAGACAGAGCTAGAGTTTCCCCCCCACCTTCACCCATTTGCCCCACTCCTGGTCACCAACCATCTGTTTCTGTATCTGTGTTAGTGTTTTTTTTTTTGTTTGTTTGTTTTGTTTTTAAATTTCACATTTAAGTCAGATTATTGTATTTGTATTTTTCTATCTGATATTTCACCTAGCCATAATGTCACATAGGACAAGGTTTCCTTCCTTTTATCACTGAATAATATTCCACTATAAATGTATGCAACTTTTTAATTATTTACTTGTCCACTAGTGATCTAGTGTTGTTTTTGTATCTTGGTGATTGTAAATAATGTTGCAAAGAACATGGAGGTGCAGACATCTTTTCAAGATTTAATATTATTTCTTTCAGAGAAATACCCAACAGTTCAGGTGAATCATGAATCTTTAAATATTTGAGGATTTTTTCACAGAGGCTGCCCCAATTTAAATTCCCACCAATAGTACAGTAGTACTATTGGTGGGAATTTAAATTGTAAAGTATAATAGTATCTCGTTGTGATTTTTATTTGCATTTCCCTGGTGACTAATGATGTTGAACACCTTTTCATGTATCTGTTGGCTATTTGGATGGCTTCCGTTTTGGGGGCTTTTGTGGGGTGAGAGGATTTATGTCTTCTTTGGAGAACATTTGTTCAAATCCTCTACCTAATTTTTGAGCTGATTGTTTGGGTTTCCCACTATTAAGTTGCATGAGTTTTTATACATTTTAGATGTTAACCCTTATCAGAAACAGGATTTGCAAATATTTTCTCAAAATGGCCGGTTGCTTTTTCATTGCAGAGATGGTTTTCTTTGCTGTACAAGAGCTTTTTACTTTGATGTAGCCCCCTTGTCTATTGTTGCTTTTGTTGCCTTTTTTTTTTTTTTTAAATGTCAAATACAAACATTCATTGCCAAGACAAATGTCGAGGAGCTAACCTCCTATGTTTTCTTGTATGAATTGTATGGTTTCCAGGAAGTATCAGTCTTTGAATTACCAAATTTGGGCCCAAAGAGATTTAGTTACTTGACAAAGTTTGGCAACTAATAAAGTTGTAGTGCTAATGTCTAAAGCTAAGGGGTTTTATTCTTCAAGAGAATTGGATCATAAAATGAAATTATAATACTAACAATGGTTCAGGTGAAAATTTTATCTATGTGCATTTGACCACCATAAAAATTGGGGTGGGGGTATAAAATTTTACATCAGGAAATATTCTTCATCTAATTGAAATACTCTTAATGCATATTAATTGGTCATAAGTGAAAATATTCTTAATATATGTGAACAGATGAGAAAAATATACCCCTAAAATTTTTCAGTCTTCTCTATCGGGGACTTATGGTTGATTATTTTTGTCATTATTTTATTTTATTTTTCTCAGAATCCAAGTGTTATTTAATATTTGTGGAAAGGTAACTTTTATCAGGAAAAGAAAAAGATGTTGTTGTCACTAGTACTCTGCCCATCCATGACACTAGTGGTATTCCTAAAAGTTTCTTTGTGCATTTGCATGTCACATGAGAAATTGTAGACTGGATAGACATGAAGAGAAGATGCTACTAAGGTACCTGGATCCCAGCTCCCTTTCTAAAGGCACTTTTCAGGTTGAGGAATTTCCCACTGTTATGTCCTTCCATTCCACACCTTATTTCCACTTTTCCTCAACTCCTCTACCCGATGTCATCAACCCTAATGGCAGGTCTCCAGCCATCACTATCACCTGAAAAGAAGAAAAAAGACTTATTGCCCTGATGGGGGCTAAACATGAATGCCACAGATGTGAATCCTGCCCAGCTCCTCTCCTGTCCTGGTCTGACTCCATAACCTAGGCCTTAAGATGGAAATTCATGAATTTAGAAAAGAGACTGACCTGGTAGGAGACTAATTGACTCCTCATGATCCCAATGAGTCCTTTCCCTAAAGCCTATATATATATATATATATATATATATATATATATATATATATATATATATATATTTTTTTTTTTTTTTAATTGATTTTTTTTACAGAGAGGTAGAGAGAGGGATGGAGAGTTAGGAACATTGGAACACTGATGAGAGAGAAATATTGATTAGTTGCCTCATGCTCATACTGGGGATGTACCTACAACCAAGGTACATGCCCTTGACCGGAATCAAACCTGGGACCCTTCAGTCAGTAGGCCTACACTCTATCCACTGAACCAAACTGGTTAGGGCAGGCCCTAAAGTCTTTGATCCCCTGTTTGGAATGTAAAGGGTCAAACTTTCTGTCCCTACATTTTTATTCATTTGGTTATTATTAAATTGCTGTTGTTACTCAGTGGTGTCCAGCCACTGCTCGATGGATCCCTGAGCTACTCAAATGAGACCTGGCTCATGGGCATCTTTCTCTAAGGATTAGAGAACATGGAGAGATAAGATGACAGAAAACATCCCCATGACTTAGCTGTGAGTGTCTTCATGCTAGTTCTTCATTTCACATCCCCTACTGCCTCTGATGACAGGAGATCTTACCCAGGATGGAGATAGGAAGACTGTTCCAGAGATATCCTGGCATCTGTAAAAGGCTGCCATTGGGATCTGGGGAGTTGAAAAAGAGGGTAGGGTGTACTTGGGCCACTGTGATTAAAGGGAAATGAAAATTGTCAATGAGCAGGGGCTGACACCTGGCTCTATCTCTAGGTGTGTGATGAGTGAGTGCCACCACACCTTGTACAGCCCCCACTCATGATTACCTCCATAACCTTAGCATTGAGGATGGCCATCAAATTCACTGTCACCCTAACTGGAGGCCACCCCCAAGTCGCCCAATGATGCAAATAGCATCACAATTGTCCCGATTCTGATAAGGGTTAACATCTAAAATCAGTGTCTCCATCTACCCCTCAAGTCCTGAAGATAGAGATGCAGACCTCCTTTCAACCCCATCATGATACAGCAGAGTGTCTGAATGTAGGTGCCTCAGAAAGTAAATATGGGCTGAGGAGTCAGTAGGCTCTGGGGCAGCTGATTCTGCCCAGCCCCATCCTAGAAGTGCAACCCTGGACCTGTGTTCTCTCCAGCCTCCATGACAGGGTCATACTGGAGGGCAGGGTCTCTGCCCAGTGGGAACTTTTGCCTTTGAGAGTTGACATTTTGCCTATTGTGTTCCAGACATCAAGGAGTGTGGACCAAAGTCAGAATGGTCCTGTGAAATACGTTTAGACTGCCAAGACTTCACGGAGTCCTACTGCAGATGCAGCCGAGGCAACGGGCCTGTTTCTGAGGAAATGTTCCACATTGATCCCGACAAACCATATATTGGTGAGAAGGATCCCATGTCGTCCACTTTCTCATTTATTAAATTTGGGGTTCTCAACCCTTTCTCAAGGTTATCAAAGAGGCAGCCTGGGTCCTTACCAGGTCACCCACCCTCTCTGAACCCCAAGATTCTGAATGCCCCTACCAAGTGCCACTTATACAATTTTGGAACATCCTCTTGCTACTTGGCATCTTAATTTCATAAAACAAAGAAAGTGGTATCATTCAAGATACTTCAAGAGCTCACAGAGTACTTCATTCCATTGCAATATCTATTATTTTCTTCTTCATCAGACACTGCCAGGCTGAGATCTTCCCCCACTAGAGTCCACATGGGCTTGGCCACCCCAGAAGCACTCTCAGATCTCTCAAGCCTTGATGAACCCTGTTCAGAAATGTGGGAGTGGGAAGAGTCAAGGGTCACCCCATGTGGCCCAGCTGGCCCTGCCCTGGCCAACAACCACACTTGGTGAAACCCCTACTTGCACCCTGACCCCACTTCTCAGCCGCATCTATTTTCCCAAGCAAGGCTCCATCCTGATCCAACCCAATAAATTCAGTTCATGGGTCTATGGGCAACTCAGATAAATAGGATGGATGTTGTGTTGGAGGTGGGCAGGGTGAAATAAACCACCCCACACATACTCAGAAAGTGAGATAAATGGAAGAGGCTCCTATCTGAATGAGATTGAAAGAAAGGATGTAGTTGGACATCATTGCCCCATGCCTGACCCTCTCCTATAAAGGTCAACTCAGGCCACAGGGGGACCCAAACTGAGCCCAGTCAGCAGGACTTATAAGTTGGTATCCCTGATAGAGATAAAAAAGCCAGATAACAGAAACAGTTGCCACCCCTTGGCCATCAGCACCTGCTCCCTTCTTCAGCCACCCAACCCTTGCCTACTGCTGGCCTTGCTCAGAAGTGGATTCTCACCAGTTCCTGCCAGTCCAGGGGATGACTTTGTGGGGATTATGAGAGGCATCTTCACCACCTCAAGCCTGCCTGGCTGGATGTCCAGTGATGACCTGGCATCCACTGTCTGGGTGGCTCTTGCTTGTCTGGCATCATCTTCATTCTCCTTACCCTTTCCTCCAAGCCCCTTGAGGAGTCAGGATCATGGGTGGGTCTTGGGCCAGCTTGAGTCTCAGAGTTAGCATGAAGGGAGAACCCTGTCTTGCCAGCATCACCCGGTGCCAAGGAGAATTAAGGCAGAGAGCAACTGTCCTGAAGGGGGCAGGACAAAGGCCCTCACCAGGAGCTAAGCTGGGTACTGCTCAGGGAACACATTTCTCCTGCATTTGGCTCCCAGGAAGGTCCACTCTGGCCTTTCTCCAAATCCTCAGGCTGAGACACAGGTAAACATGATGTCCCCATCCCACCTGGGAGCTGCCAAGGAAGCGAGTGCACAGGGGCTAAATGACAGGGAGAACTCAGGACACTTCCATCCACATCTGGACAATGGAGCATTGAAGCCACAACATTCATCCATTGGATGCCTCCCTGTGAATAAGAACTGGCACCTACTCACTAGGAGGAGAAAGTGGGGCCTTTTCAAAACAGATTTATGCCACTTTCCAAAGAACATGGGAAATGGCAAACCAACCTAAGGATTTTCTCCTTCAAGATATATCCTTTCCTTTGGAAATGGTTAGAGTTTCTAAGATGTGTTTCTGTCATCAGCTGTGTGTATGTTCTGTCCCCTTACCTGTAGCACCCGACTATCATTGACTGACTTATTGGGGAGGCCCAGGAAATGGAAGGGAAAGACAGAGTCCTTGATTCCAAGCATAGAAACCTCAGAGAAGTTGCCAGAAAGCTGTGGGCTGCAGGGCCAAAGCCACCTCCAAGGTGGAGGTCTGTGGATAGAGGCTGAAATTGGAGCTCTACTCTCCTATCTTGATCATCTTTCTGTCTTTCTGCCCCAGGACTCTTTGGCCATCTCATTTTGACATTGCGGGCTGCAGATGAAGCCCTTAAAGGTGAGTCTGCCCAGCCAGGGCAATTAATGACATTAGCTGGTTAAGTGTTTGCTGGGGTCTGGGTTCTCTCACTAACAAGGAGAGGAGGCTTACTCTGAAAATGAGGCCAGGGAGGGTCTTCTGAAAATAAGAAAAGCTATTTCTTCCTCCCTAAATGACCAAATTTTTCTGAGCTCTTCTAAGTCCAGTGGCAACCATAACTGTCTCTTCCCTACTCTGGTATCCACTGTCTGGTGGCTCTTGCTTGTCTGGCATCATCTTCATTCTCCTCACCCCTTCCTACAAGCCCTTGCATCTCCAGCTGGTAGTTGACTTCTTCCATGTCATGGGCCTTCTGACAACGCTCTCCATACCCACAGCCTCTACCCCAGAAGACTGTGCTTGGTGGTGTCCTCTGAACTCCAAATGTGTCAATGCCACTGCTTGTCGCTGTGCTCAGGGATTCAATTCTTCATCTGGAGAGATCGTCACTAGCCGCTTTGAGAGATGTGATGGTAAGGGGCTTGGAGTGGGCATACAGAGATTGTTGGGGGGAGGTTATAGGGCATCCAGAACCCTCACCACTGAGAGCAACACAGAAGCTTTTTTTAAAAAAGATAATCCTTTTGCCAATAGCACCAGAACCCTTCGCTGCCGAATCTGGGCATGGAGAACACGCCCTAGTGAATGAAGATGCCGAACTTGGCCCGGTCAAACCAAGAGGACCGCAGTCGGGCAACCCGGGACTCTCAGGTGGGGTTGAAGTGTGGGGTGCCGCGGGCGGGACAGGGCACGGGCAGCAACCACAGAAGCATTTTGTCAAGGGTTAGAGAGAGGAGACAGGGAGGTGGGCAATCAGGTTTTCGTGATTAGTCTGTCAGACCCACTACCCATTTTTAAATTGGATGATGTAGTTTTGTGTGTTTTGTCTGTTGAGATAAAAGAGTTCTTTATATAGTATTTTGGATGTTAACTATTTATACGATATATGATTTGCAAACATTGTCTCCCAAATTGTAGGTTGCCTTTTAATTATTTTATAATTATAAAGACAGTGTTTATTAAAATGCATTTCATTTTAAAAATGTAATTGAGTCTACAGACATTGTATATGTATATGTATACAGATACTTATATTTATATTTATTGTATCTCTTCTTGTCCATGAGATATGAGGTCATTTGGCTCACTATCTGAGGCATAAAAGAAACAACAACAAAAACATTAAAGAGCTGTCCTGGACACCCACCCTCTCCATACCTCAAGGCTGAGAACTCTCCTCAGAGTGTCACTTCTGGATGTTTGGAACCCTCATCTCCACCCACCTGATATCTTATTTTCGAGAGAGTGATGACATTTAAGTTGCTTCAAGAGCTCACTGTTTTGTGTTCCAATGCAGTATCTGTCTTCTTTGTCATCACCAGTGACTTCCAGAACGAGAACTTTTCCTACCCGAGACCCTATGATCTCAAACATTACAGATAGACTCTCGGACCTCCCAGGCAATAATGGATTCAAGGATCCTGTCCAGGAACAAGGGGGTAAGGAGATTCAAGGGGGAGTCCACCTTCCCTAGCCAGCCCTATCCCTGGCCAACAACCCTGCCACCCTGACCCCAATTCTTATCTACTTAGCCTCCATCGATGTTCCTACACAAGGAACTTCCCTACCCTTCCCAAAAATTTCAGTTCATGACCTGAAGACCCAGAAGAATGTTGTTTCAGGTCTTGAAAACATGACATGGACCCCACCAAATAAAAACACTCCTGTAAACTCAACTCAAAAGGAGAGGCTCCCATCTGAACCAGACTCCAAAGGAAATGATCTTTAGAGATCATGGACTCAACCTGAACCAGGCTACAAAGAACCACATCATCAGGGATCATGGATTTACTCAGGGAAGAACCCAGGTCTGTGTCCTGGTTGGGATGTTAAGGGGCCAGAGAACAGAAACATCTGCTGCCCCTAGCCCATCAGACCCTGCTCCCTCTCCAGCCAGCCAACCCTCACCTTCACTGGTCTTCCTCAGAGAAGGATTATCAACACTTGCTGCCAGTCCAGGGAAATGCCTTTTGGGAGTCAAGAAAAGTACGCAGGGATGAGTGACTGGAGGTTAGCTCCCAGTGTCCAACCTGGACTTGGTGTCACTATCTGGATGGCTCTATCCTGTCCAGCATCTTCTTCATTCTCCCTGCCCCTCTGCCCTATAGCCTCATCCTTGGGATTGGGAGTGGGGAGTGGGAGAGGTTGGGGGAAGGGATGTCTGTAATGAGGGCAGTTCTTGGATCTTCTCTATCAAGATGTCTTAGTGTTAGTGTGGAAGGGACAGCATGGCTTTGACAGCGTCAATGGGATTCCAAGGAGAACTCAGTGAGGAGCTGTTCTGGGGAAATGAGAACTAAGGCTATCACTGGGAGGCAAGTCAGGTCGTGACCAGGAAATGCAGCATTTCCAGAGCCCTGGATTCTTGTGAGAATCCTCTGTCTAAATGTTCAGGCTGGGACACAGGCAGCTATGATGTTCCTACGGTAGCTGGGAACTTCCCAGGAAATTTAGGGAACTGGGGGTAGCAGACATGTAGGACTCAGGCTCATTCCATCCACATTTGGACAAAAGAGCATCAAAGCCACCACATAATTATGCTATGAGGCTTCCATGTGACTAGGAAAAAGTGCCCACTAAGTGAAGGGGGAACAGTGGAACCTCTCAGGTGCTTCTATTCCCAAACCAGGGTCTGAAAATTACCAAATGACAATCTGGGAAGGAACCTGGCATGGGTCCCCAGCCCTACCCCCAACACACACACACACACACACACACACACACACACACACACACACACTCACACACACACACACACACACACACTCACACACACACTCACACACACACACACACACACACACACTCACATACACCTAATGATCTGCCCTTCTGTCTGCACCAGGGATCTTCCCCAACTGGAATGCACACCCTAGAGTCAACAACAGCAAGGTGAGTGACTCCCGCAGGGACAAAAAGGCAGGAAATACCTTCAGCACCCACCTATTTCCCCCAACTTTCCCCATCTACCTGTGACACTCTCTGACCATCACATCTCCCTTCTCCCCAGAGACTCTACCCCTTGGTACAAAAATTTAATGATTTGTACAGAGACTTCAAGTCAGCCTCAGATCCAGACAACATCCAGGTAAGGACAGGACTTGGGAATGCAGTGGAGACATCCCATAGAGAACTGGGGAAGCCTTGGTTTGGGAAGAGGCACAATGGTGCCCTTCTCTGAGTCTCCTCTTCTCCTAGGGTGGGTGGGGAAAGCAGACATGCAAGTACTTGTACTCACTGTTAGATCCTCAGACACCAACTAACACCTTTCTTTCTTTCTTTTTAAAATATATTTTTTATTGATTTATTACAGAGAGGAAGAGGAGGGATAGAGAGTTAGAAACATCAATAAGAGAGAAACGTTGATCAGCTGCCTCCTGCACACCCCCTACTGGGGATGTGCCCTCAACCAAGGTACATGCCCTTGACCGGAATCAAACCTGGGACCTTTCAGTCCACAGGCCGATACTCTATCCACTGAGCCAAACCGGTTTCGGCCAACTAACAGCTTTCTTGCTATTCCTGCCCATTCAGTTTTCATCACCCTTGGCATTATGAACAGGACTGACCTCTACATGGCTGGATTGCAGGGGCAATCTGGTACTACCCAAATACACAGTATCTAGAATCTGTTTGCTGGAGCTGAGTGGGCAAAGTTTTCCTGTAGCCCCTGTAGTGCATGGGCCAATGGCTCTGTGTCCATACCCCCAGGACCTCATACAGGAGGTGGATGACTTGCTGGAGAGCCCAGGGGACCTGGAGACCTGGCCCCACTCAGATCAGAACTATGTGGCCACTAACCTGCTCCTCAACATGGAACATGTCGTCAGAAAGCTGAGCAAAGCCCCACCCAATGAATCACTGACCTTTGAAGCAACTGGAGGCACAGGTAAGTGCCTGGGTCTGCTCCCAGGCTCAGCCCTGTCCACCTCATTCCTGCACCTCATTCCTCCCCCAACCTCATTCCTGCACCTTATTCCTCCCCCAACCTCACTGGAGCTGAGTGACCACTCATAAACAAATTAAAGTAAAAGCTTAAATAGAAATGAATAAATTTTGCTAATAAAATAATTCAGACAGACAAACAAATACTGAATGCTATCACTTATATGTGGAATCTAAAAAAATAAACTCATAGATACAAAGAATAGATTAGTAGTTGCCAGAGGCAGGGGGTGAAGGGCTGTTGAAATGGGTGAAGGAAGTCAAAAGGTACAAACTTCTACTTAGAATATAAATAAGTCATGAGGATATATATGTATGCCATGGCAATTTTAGTTGGTAATACTGTATTACATATTTGACAGTGTCTGTGCAAGTAAACCATAAAGGTCCTTATCAAGAATTTTAAAAATTTAGTAACTACGTATAATGACAGATGTTAACTAAACTTATTGTTGTGATCATTTTGCAATATATATAAATATCAAGTCATCTGTTGTACATTTGAAACTAATGTTATGTCAATTATACTGCAATAAAAAAGAATGAATAAAATGACAATTAATATACATTTTCATTATAAAATTAATTATGAACAGTGAAATAAAAATAATGAAAATTTTAAGATGAAATACAAAAGGCTTCAAAAGAGAACAATTTACTTAATTTTGAAGAATATAGATTTAGCCCTGGCCAGTTTTGCTCAGTGGTTGGAGCATTGGCCCATGTACCAAAGGGTGTGTGTTTGATTCCCGGTAAATGGCTCATACCTGAGTTGCAGATTCAATCACAGGCCCTAGTCAGGAAGTTTGCGGGAAGCAATCAATCGATGTGACTCTCACATCAATGTTTCTCTTTTTCTCTCCCCCAATCCCTTCCACTCTCTCTAAAAATCAATGGAAAAAATATCCTCAGGTGAGAATTAACAACCAAAAAATAATATCCTATCTAATAAAGAGGGAATATGCTAATTGACCATAACATCTTCACAAATATTGTGGTGCCCACAGCCAATAAGGAGGGAATATGCTAATTGACTTCAATGCTCTCACAGCCACAAGATGGCATTGCCCAATCCCCCAAACCCCCAGTCAGCCAGGGCTGGCCCAAGGTGCAGGCAAGCCTCAGATGATAGCTATCCAGCTGCCCAGGGCCATCCGAGGCTCAGATAACCAGGGCCTGCCGAGACTTGCCCTGCTGGCAGTGGCAGCAGCAGAGGTGTGATGGAGTGTCTCCATCCCCTGATTGCTGGTTGCCTCCCACCTCTTAGGGTTCCTGGACTGTGATAGGGGGCAGACTTAGTGCATGAATTTTCATGAACTGGGCCTCTAGTATATTTAATATTACTTGAACCCTAGCTGGTTTGGCTCAGTAGATAGAGCATCAACCTGTGGACTGAAGGATCCTGGATTTGATTCTGGTGAAGGGCACATGCCCAGGTTTCAGGCTCGATCCCCAGTGAGGGTGTGCAGAAGACAGCTGATCAATGATTCTCTCTCATAATTGGTAGTTTCTATCTCTCTCTCCATTCCTCTTTAAAATCAATAATATATATATAAATACTTGACATTTAAAATAATTTGTCTTATTGAGGTAAACTTCACATAACATAAAGTTGACCATTTTAACCAAAGTGTACAATTCAATGACATTCAGTATGTTCAGAGTTGTGATCATCACTCCTAAAATATTTCTAAAATATTTTCATCACCCCAAAAGTAAGTACTGTACTAACTAAACAGTTGCTCCCACCTCCAGGCCTTGGCAAGCATTTATCTGTCTTCTGTCTCTATAGATTTGCTTATTCTGAATATTTCATAAAACAGGATCATTTTTGTTACCCTATAATTTAGTTTCTTTCACCTAATGATGTTTTCAAGATTCATCCATGTTGTAGCATGCATTGTCAACTGGTGGTCCTTGGGGCCAACAGGAGTTCCCAGTTTGGTGAAGAAGGAAACTTTATTTACTATAAAATATTTCAATGGTGATACAGCACAGCTGTAAGAGAAGTAAGACTGATACAGCCCAATTTTGATACAGCATAACTGTGAAAGCACAGCTATAGGACAGCCCTGGGGCCAGGCCCCTCTTGGGGTAGACATCTCTGTTCTGTTCCTCAATGGTCTGCTCTGCTTCAGCTCAGCCAGGGAGACAGTCTTCATTCTAGAAGGAAAAGTAGCTGGCTTATATGGACAGAAGTTCCCATCCTGATTTTTGATAGGTCAATTCTTATGCAAATGAGGATGCCAAATACTCCCTGTTTGATTGCCCCAGAAGGCACTAATCTGATTGGTCAAAATATAGCTGATCTGATTGGTTGACACTGTGCATCTCTGATTGGATGGGGAAGCCTCCATCCTATTGGTTGAAGTAGGATTCCAGGATACCTTCATAGGGGTTGGCTCAGATGGCAGGCAATTTAAGACAGAGGCAGGCAGTTAGCACAGAGGTTTCTCCGTGAAGTGCAGTTTGCATGAGTGGCTGCTATGAAGAAAAGGCTGCTGCACCTCTGCTTTTTTTATTTTTTTTTATTTGAGCCCAGTTAGCTACCAAGAGCCCTTCTTAGTAGGGGTGTTTTAATCTCAGGAATCACAGTATCACAGTTATTTCCTTTTTATGTTTGACTAATATTCCATTGGATATGGATATAGCTCCTTTTGTTTACACATTCATTCATTGATGGACATGTGGGTTATTGCTTCCTTTTGACTATTGTGAATAGTCCTATTATGCATATTGATGTACATGTTTTATATGATAACTTTTTCAGCTTTTTGGGATATATAACTTAGGGTGAAATTTCTGACATGGTAATTCTATATTCAACTTTTGGGGGAGCCACAAAACTATTTTTCCAAAATGGCAACTTTTCCATTTACAGTCCCACCAGCTAAATAATAGGGTTCCATTTCCACATCCATATATATATATATATATATATATATATATATATATATATATATATATATGGTATATTGATTGATATCAGAAGGAATTAAGAGAAAGAGAGAGATAGAAACATCAATGGTGAGAGAGAATCATTGCTCAGCTGCCTCCTGCACACCCCACACTGCCACAACCCAGGTACATGCCCTGACCAGAAATTGAACCATGAACTTCAGGTTCATAGGTCTATGTTCAACCACCGAGTCACCGCAGCTGGACCCTTATTCCTTTTTTATCCTGGAATCTATTTTGTTGGATATAAGCATTGGCTACACCTGCTTTTCTGTGGATGCTATTTGCTTAGAGAATCATTTTCCATCCTTTCACTTTGAGTTTATATTTGTCTTTGCAAATTAGATGTGTCTCCTGAAAGAAGCAAATGATTCAATTTTTAAAATATATTTTTATTGATTTCAGAGAGGAAAGGATGAAGTGAGAGAGATAGAAACATCAATGATGAGAGAGAATCATTGATTGGCTGCCTCCTGTACACCCCCTACTGAGGATCAAGCTGACAACACAGGCACGTGTCCTTGACCAGAATTGAATCTGAGACCTTTCTGTCCTCAGGCTGATGCTCTATCCACTGAGCCAAACCAGCTGGGGTTATGATTGGATTTTTAAAATATTATTTAATTTTTTTCTTCATCATTTATCCCCATCTATGCCCTCTTCCATTTCTACCCACCCCATCCCCCACACTGTTAGCCATGTTCATGAGTTCTCTCTCTCTCTTTTTTTTCTCAATCTCTCTAACTCTATTAACCTCTCCATTCTCAGAGCTATCTGCCTGTCCTCTATTAGTCTCTATTTTGCTTAATAGTTCAGTTTGTTTATTAAATTCTATATATTAGTGAAATCATATGGTACTGTTTTTCCTGACTGGTTTATTTCACTTATCATAATGTTCTCCAGGTCTATCCATGCTGAGGCAAAGGGTAAAATTTTCTTCCTTTTATGACAGAGTAGTATTTCATTCTGTAAATGTCCCACATCTTTTTTCCCCAGTCATCTACTGATGGAACTGCTTCCAAATCTTGGCTATTGTAAATAATGCTGCAATGAATATAGGGGTGCATATATGCTTTCAAATTAGCATTTCAGGTTTCTTCAGATAAATTTTCAGAAGTGGAGAAGTGGAATCGCTGGGTCATAAAGCAGATCCACCTTTAATCTTTTGAGATACCTCGGATTTGGATTTTGATCCAATCTGCCTCTCTGTGCCTTTTTATTGGTGAATTCCTTTCATGTACATTTCGGGTGATTCTTGGTGAATGAGGATTTCCTATAGCCATTTTATCTTTTGTTTTCTGGTAGCTCTGTGCCTCCGCTGTTTGTTTTTTTCCTTGTGTTCCTGTCTGTTGTTTTTGTTTGGTGGTGGTATTTCATATTTTCCCCCTCTATTTCCTCTTTCTTCTAAGTTATGTGTCTCAGTTTTGGGTTTTTATGTGTAGTTGCCATTAAGTTCACATGAAAGAAATTTTCATGTATACAGCAGTCTTTTCTCTCTCTCTCTTTTTTTTTTTTTTTTTTTTTTTAATGTATCTGATCTCCATGTCATTAACTTTTGACAGTTTTAATACCTTGTGCTTTGGAAAGGGCCTTGATGAGTTGAATGTTCTGTTTGCTTAATTCTTCCCATCGTTTTCCAGTAGGTGGTGCTGAATCACAAGTTTTTTCGTTCTCCTGAATTGCTCTGCTTTTTCAGATCTCTGAGGGGAAATGGCCTGTGCTCCCTGGGAAGGTTGGAGAAGCCTTCCTAGTTTAGATACCTCGGTCTTAGGAGAACAACCTTATCTGGGGAAAGGTGGTAAACGATGGGATGAAATCCCAATGCTGCCCCCTGTCTCCAGACACTGCCAGCAGCACACTGTGATGTGTGGGGTGGGATGAGCTGGGGGAAGTTGCTTTGCTTTCCCAGTCCTGGTGACTGGCAGACCTCTGTGGCATCCACGCTGTGTCTCCACTCGACCCTGGGATTAGCTGAAGAGGGTGCAT